TCAGCCCTTCCCAAATCTACCAAATCAGAATTTGCATTTTAACACAATCTTCAAGTGATTCATAGGCACATTGTAGTTTGAGATGCACCACTTTACATCTTGTATCAACAGAAAAGAGATGAGGAAGCCTGGTTCTAAAACTTCAAAGAAACTCACTTTTCTGTGTGGTGGAAATACATTTGTGACCTAAGAGAGTTCATCCAGGATTTGTATTGGGACTTTTGAAGAAAGGAGCTTTGGGAACCTAACCTGTTCATATGTGAAAATTTCTAAGATTCTAAATATGGGTTGTATATCCCTGTTTTCTGAAACAGAGAATAGAGCATAATTTAGATTTCTTAGTAGTTGAGATGGAGAAGGCAATGGCACCCCACTTGAGTACTCTTGCCTGGAAAATCCCATGGATGGAGGAGCCTGGTAGGCTGCAGTCCATGGGGTCGCTAAGAGTCAGACATGACTGATCTACTTCACTTTCACTTTTCACTTTCATGCATTGGAGAAGGAAATGGCAATCCACTCCAGTGTTCTTGCCTGGAGAATCCCAGGGACGGGGGAGCCTGGTGGGCTGCCGTCTATGGGGTCACACAGAGTCGGACACGACTGAAGCGACTTAGCAGCAGCAGCAGCAGTAGTTGAGAGGCAAAGTTATGAATATCTGTATATAAAAGAGTGATATTCTAAAGAGTTTTCAAGTTATATAGTAGATGCTCAGTAAATGAGAGTCTGCTCTATTCAATTAGCTTCAGAATACTAGCTTAGAAATTCTCAGAAGGTAGAGAACTGTGGGCTATGTTTATCATATTCTCAGTGGAATATATAAGGTTGTTCAATTGAACTAATTGCCTCAGGCTGCTATGCATTTTCACTTATACCTTTTCCCCAATTTTCTTGTCTCTCCTGTATTTATTCCACCAACCAATGGTGTTGCTGCTGCCATTGTGCCTGTATCCACAGTGTTTCCTTCCTCTGCCCCATGACTTATTCTTTCTAACCTGCTGTGGGCCGGGTGAGTGGAGAGCCACAGAAATTACCGTATAAATAAAATAACAGCCAAATATTCTAAATGAGAGCTTGAGAGGATTTTCTGTAAGTGCACTTTTTGCACACAGGCTATGTGGTCATTATTGGCCTAATAGTCCCACCCTTTTATTCATTTTTTTATCTTTTAGGATCTTAGTTGTCTTAGATATTTCAGACTTCAATGCTAGTTAAATGACATCAACATAGGTGATCAACTGATATGAACAACAGTGAAATTATATCTTCCTGCCATAAGATGAATCTTGGAACTCAACTTAGGATGCTCTAAGAAAAAGAAGAAATGAAGATACACAGGGAACATGAGAAAAAAATAAAAGTAAGTTTAAAGAAAAAGAAAAATCAAAGAAATCCATATAAAAGAAAGTCAGTAGTGATATACGTAAAAGATATGTATGTACACATATATATATATGGGGACAGGTTACATCCTATTAATCTTTGTATTCCCAATACCTGGCTTATTAAAAATGCAATAAACGTGTAAACAGATCAGAATAAGGAGAAGAAAAAAGAAAACTGTGTCTTCATATTGGTAGAGGGACTCCTAATAGGGAATGCCACTAAAAGAGGGAAGGTGTTCTATAAAGGTCAAATGTGATTTAAAAACTAGAGGGGGTAAAAAAGCTGTGAAAGATGGAAGCCAGACACAACAGAGAAGGAACTGGATTAGCATTTTTTTGATATAAAAGTAGGTGTTCAGTTGCTCAAGCCTCCCACAACTTCTGTTACAGAGAATATGAGTCCCGAATTGGGGCTGACAAATAGTGGCACATGTCAGAATTTGACATTCAGCAAAAATGTCCCTCCTGAACCAGTGGCAGAGCTCACTTTCAATAACAGCATTTTTTCCTTTTGGACACAGACCTGGTCTCAGCATTGCCCATTAAAATAAGCAGGATTGACACTACCATATTGGGCACTCTGGCACTGTAATCACACACCTACAAAATATCACTTTCAACGATTGGCAAAAAATTGGAGAAATGTGCTGAAGAAAAGAACTATTATCCCCCAATGTAAAAAAAGAATGGAACCAATTCAGCTTCATTTTGCTATTCAAAGCAGTGGTTCTCAAATTTCCCAGTACATCAGAATTACCGGGAGAGCTTGCTTTTGGGTCCCATCTCCAGAGTTCAGTAGGTCTGGGGTGGGACCTGAGAATTTGCATTTCAAACACTTTAAGATTCACCATTCAAAAGAATACTGGAACAAATTCTAAATATGTAAAACTGAAAATCTTTTGACAGGCAAAATAGTATGTTGTAATTAGCATAGCTTTATGAGGAAAAATGTAAATTAACCAACTATAGCTTGTAGTGAATACAGCAAAGATTTTGATGCTAAATAGACTCTGGTTTAAGCTCTGGATCTGCTATTTACAGATTCATGATTTTTACCAAGATTACTTAAACTTTATATCAGCCTTAGTTTCCTCTGGTAAAATGGGGATAAGAAAAATATCCCATAGAATTACTGTGAGAATGAAATGGGGGGGGGGGGAATATATCTAAAGAGACTAGCACAGTACCTGGTACATAGTAAGCATTCATTCAGTCTTTCATCCTTTTCCTCTTCTTGGCTGACAGCAGTCATGGGTCTTGAAGCAGTAGAGTGAAATAACATATTTTTCATAAAGACTGTAGAATCTGTCATGCAAAAAGACTCATAAAAATGCGAGAAAATATTATGATGAATTAGTGGACAAGTGTAAGCAGCTTAGGTGATGAAGATTGCAGGGAAGTCCAGTGGTTAAGACTCTGCTCCCAAAGCAAGGGACATGGGTTCGATTCCTAGTTGGGGAACTGAGATTCCCCATGGTTGGTCAAAAGAAGAAAAAAAAAAAGATTGTGGGGAAGAAGTGTTAAAACATAGCGTTCTCGTCCTCCTCTTAGAAGAGTCTCCCCTAAAGAGACAAGGTTCAACTTCATCCCCTACACCTGTGATTAAAATGGGCTTCTTATACCCAAGAGGATACATTCCAGGGGCAGAAAGCCAACTGCCTAATTATTCCCTTAAGGGGCTTTTTTTTCCTGAGCCACTTTTCAAAGGACTCCCAGGAAGTGTTGAAAACTGTTATTGTATAATCTTCTTGATGAAGCAAGGTGTGACCTTTTGCTCACACAGAGGCTTAGGTTTTTGTGGAAAAGCTGCTAATGTTGTGGAAAAGCACTTGCTCATTTTGTGTAGATGAAATATAACATATTGTTGAAAATTCTAAAACTCCAAAGTACAAATTATTACAAAACACAAGTGTTAATTGTATATTTGATGATATACAAATACATTATTTTTAATGATTTTAGGTATAACAGTACTGTGATTATGTTATGCATTTAAAGATACATGTTTAATGCTTACCTATAAAATAGTATGTCTGAGATTTGTTTCAAAATAATCTCAGGAGAGTAGAGGTTGGTGCCAGTATAGATGAAACAAGATTATCCCGAATTGACAAATGTTGACTAGTTGATGAGTATATGATAGCCCATTATACTATTTTCTCTTACATTGTATTTCTTTTATTATCTACCTAAAATGTTAAAAATTCAAGTAGTTTTTACCAATGTGATACTGTTTTCTAGGACAGGATCGTCTTGTATGTGTAATTTTCTCTAAAGATTCTGAAAATTTACATTTAACAAGTTCATAGGCTTTAAACCTAAGAATCTGACAACGTATCTTCCACATGCAGGAACTAGTATATTTTAGCATTTGGTACTGTTTGGGTCCTTTATTAGTGTAAATGTATAAAATGGAAAGGAAAAATTAAAAAGCATTGTAGAAATAATAAACATAAATTCCAAAAAGAAAACCTACAAATCCAACTACTGAAACCCTATTTGTGATTCATCTGGTGCATTAAAGCACCAAGTATCATTAATTCATGGCAATAATTAAAAGGGGAACTTTGCATTATTCTACAACTCACTTTATGGTCGGTATAATCATTCAGTAATTAGAAATATCATCTTGCTGGATTCCATTCGGAATTCGGTGTTTTTGAACCATTTCATTTCTAACACAGAGTAAGTGTGGCAAAACGACAGAATAAGATGGCAAAACGACTTGGGTAATGTAGTCCAGGGCTTGCTTGCCAGTTAGCATGCTGGGACATGCCAGAGATTCAAAGATTTCCCTCACGAGGACACGCGAAGCTGAGTTCTTGCTTTGGGTGTTACAGCTTCTCTTCAGAATACCAGCAGGATGAGCCAACCCTTGGCAAAAATCTCCAGGAGGTGAAGTTTGTCTTTCAGTTTCCCTTACTCCATCTTCCCCTCTGCTCTTCCCAGTATGTAAGTCAGTGCAAAAAGTTCTGCGTTCTGACTGAGGTTCTGTGTTCATCATAGAGAAATGTTTCTTTTTCCTTTGCCTTGCATTATAATTGCCGACGGGCAGGGCGCTTGGATGCCTATTTCCTTCAGAATTTAATATTAAGGGGGAAAACACCTCAAGATTAGAAAAACAAAGACAAACCCCGGGTTCCTCTTCGGAGGGAGGGTGAGTGGGGTCAGTCGGGCCAGACGGAGCCCTGGGCTCCGGATATCACCCCGCACGCAGCTCTCGAACTCCCTCCCCACCGCCGCCCCGCGCCCCTTCGACCCAGGTCCACCCCTCTCGCCCCGGGAGGCCGCCGCCCCGCGCCCCGCCTCCGGCCTGGGTGCCTCGGGCTCCGCCTGCAGGGGGCGCTGCGGCGAGCGCAGCCCGTGCTGAGGGGAACTACGCGGGGGTGGGAGTCCCGCGGCTCCGCGCTCGGGGCGGCGGCGGGGCAGGGTCCCGGTGCCCGCGGCGGCCCAGCTGGGCTGCGCAGTGGGGCGTGAGCATTCCGGCCGCGGTCCCGGGTGACTCCCTCGGTGACGCCGGCCGCGTTCTTTCCTCTTCCTCTCGCCTCTCCGGCCCCGCCTTCCCTTTTCCTCCGCCCACCCTGCCGAAGCCGAACCGCCGCCGCCAGCAGCGCCGTCATGTCGGCCCCCGCCGGGTCCCCTCATCCGGCCGCCAGCGCCCGGATCCCGCCCAAGCTTGGCGGAGCCGCCGCCTCAGGAGCCGCCGCGCCGGCAGGCCCGGGCCCGGGGCCGCACCAGCAGAACGGTGAGGAGGGCGGCCGGGTCGGAGCGCGGGGCCTAGTTGCCGGCGGGGCAGCCTGCGCGGCGCGATCCGGCGGGGAGGGCCGGCGGGCGGCGGGAGTTGGGGGCTGCCGGGCTGGGGGCGGGGGGCGCACGGCGGGAGCCTGACGGGGTCGGGGAGAGGGGGGCACGGATGCCCCGGCGCGGGCCGACCCGGGGCATCGCGGGCTCGGGCTGCTTCTGGAGTGTGGCCCCAGGCCCCAAACCGCCGGGGCGAGTTGCGGCGTAGAAAAAGGGCAGCCCAGAGACCACGTGAATCGCGGTTATCCAGCCCCCGGCGCGGGCGAGGTGCCCCGAGCGACCCCTGTCGCGTAGAGACCCGGGGCCGCAGAGTGCGTGGTCCTTCGAAGGCTGCTTGTAGCCATGGAGCTGAGGAGGGTTGTGCCCTCCCTGTCTCGGGGGAAATTGCTCTGATTTTTGAGGCCCGGCGAGCACGCTGCCTGGAAGGAAACTTCAGTTAGTGCTCAAGTTTGTAGACAAAGGGTGTAAATAGGCAACGCGAGTGTAACTGTAACCCTGACCCAGTTCGGCCTTCGAGATCTGTCGCTGCTGCTGCGGCCGCTACCCGAGCGTCTGGAACTGGCTGGTCGTGTTTGAAAAGGAGCAGGTGTCAAACGGATTTAAACGAATACTTTCAGATCTGGGTGTCCCCCGCCTCTCCCCCGTCCCCCAGCTTCACTTTCAGAAACAAAAACGTGCCAGAGGTGGCCCTGTTTGAGGCAAGGCCTTCATACCGGCAGCAGGCATTGCAACGTGAAGGCCGCTTTCAGACTAAGGTCGTGGGCTTTCGGGACGTAGCAGTCTCCGCTGAAAAATGATGCTTGTAGAATATCCATTCCCTCAGTTAGTGGATGGGGCCCGGGGAGAGGGACCCTCTCTGTATAAACGGTAATATTTCCGATGAGGACGCTCGAAGCTAATTGACTGAATACTTTACAAGAATATGTCTGGTTCTCTGTTTGTATAAGAGAACAAAGTCTGGTGGTGCTCTTCAAATGATTGTTGGACTGACCTGTTTTACCCAGTCTGCTAGTGAAAACTTACTGGACTTTATAAATCAGTTCAGCGAACATTTAATTTTTATAGCTGATGCTGTTCACGCTTGCAGTTTATCGTTTATCCTGAGAACCAGAAGTTGAGTTTTTTTTTTTTTTTTGGTAAGTCAAACGTGATGGCTTAGTCTTCATAATCCTTTGGATCAGCCATAGTTGTCAATGTTACATGCAGTACTTTTTCTGGTCATTGTTTACTGTATGGGTTTTGAATGTAAACAGTGTAGTAGGTTTTGTTCTTCTGCCCTGAACAAACATGAAGATATTATTTTTGAGCAGTTTTTGTTCTTGTAAACTTAGCATAAATTCTCGTTTTTGTTTAGTTTTTGAAATAGCTTTGTGTATTGAAGAACTGAAAGAAGAGATCCCCAGTCTTTTAGAATATTGTAAATCCATGTTTAATAGTGATCCAAGGATTGTGTCTTTTCTTGATTTTCTGATTATGCATTATTGTTATAGTGTAAAATTTTTAAGGTGACAAATATTTGCCTTAGTCTTACAAATTTTGTGAATACTCAAGGAGTGACAGGATATCAGTTGTAATCAAGATGTTAAATATGTAAAAAATCAGTTAATACGTTTAGAAGCCAGGTATAAATGATGCTTGCTTTCTACTGTTTATAATCATTACTTTCCTTTGATATAATTCATTTCAGCATTTGTTGCATGCTTGCAGTTGGGGACTCGAGATTAGCCTAGTAGATAAAACAAAATCCCTGCCTTTCTCCTAAATTGACATATATTTTGGTGACATTCAAGTTGGTTTTGACCTTGAGGAATTTGACAGGTAGAGGTAGGAGGGGAGGGCCGTTGCAGGGGCATGAACCAAAGTTGAAAAATTTAGGAACTAAGAAGCAAAAAGAGTGCCAGGTGAGAGGGAAAACACAAGGGATTAAAGCTGAAAAGAATACTTAAAAGGGGCCAGATTACAGAAAGGTCTTGAGTGTTAAGGAATTGGGAAATTAAGATAAAGAACTAGAGTTAATTTTTGTTTGTTTTTGTGAAAATAAGTGGCTTAAGTAGATAAATAACAAGATCAAATCTGTTTTTGTTTTGCTTGTTAATCTCAGAGAAAAGTAACTTTTGCTTTTGGAATCCATAGATAACGGTTAAGCAATCATTTGGGTTTGTGATTGATTCTTCAGTCCTGCATAAACTAGTTTGCCTTTTTATATCTCTGTGGAATTCCAGGCGTGATGAAAAAGAAATAGATCAGAAGTATGAGTTTGAAACATCACAGAAGACAGTTGTAAAACTGGAGTGGTACCTACCAATCACTTACTTTAGTGTTTATCAAACATTTTTAAAAACAGATTTCTTTTCCCAGAGGAATTTGTAGAGCCCTGCTACAGACATCTGAAAAAAGCAGAGCTGTTGTGGTTAAAATAGAGGTGGAGGTCCAGGTGTTTTTGGAGTACAGCCTATAAGACACCTAGTTCGATTCCCTAATTATACAGATGAAAGCAAGATCCAGAAAGTTTTGGATGGGTGTTTTTCACCAATTCCTGTATAATCTTCTTGAGGGTGATTGGCTGTATCCTGTTTACTGCTGTATATTCAGTATTTTCGAGGCCTAGAACAAGTTATAGTTTCATTTGTTAAATGAAGTCTAATACAGTTTTTCTAGTTTCAAGTCCAGATCTCTTTCTATTAACAGACTCTAAGAAGTCTCTTATTGGAAACTTTGACTTTGGAAAGGGTTGGGAGGCAGAAGCCCAGACTTCATTAATATTTTTCCTTGTTTTCTGTGTTTAACTTTTAACATACTTTCCCCACTTATTCCTCCACCACCAGCCCCTGCCACTTATTTGAAGTTACGATTTGACTTCTTTGAGTTTGTGAATTATTTCTTTTTGAACATTCTTCCTTGGAGTTACATTTCTCTACTTCAGTTTTTCACTGAGCAGCATATGGGCAGTTTAGAATCATTGTATTTTCATAGAAAGTATTAGTTGAATATTTTTCAGCTTACACTTTGCCTTTTAAGAGTCCTTCCAAAACAGAGTCCTCAAACAAGGAAAGACTGAGTGAATAATATCCTGGTAATTATGGCATAACCCCATTGTTGTTGTTTAGTTGCTAAGTCATGTCTAATTCTTTTTGGGTCTGTGGACTGTGGCCTGCCAAGCTCCTCCATCCATGGGATTCTGAAGGCAAGAATACTGGAGTGGGTTGCCATTTCCTTCTCTAGGGACTCTTCCCAACCAAGGGATTTCACCCTTATCTCCTGCATTGGCAGGCAGATTCTTTACTTTGAGCCACCAGGCAACCTGGCATAACTCCATAATTTCTCCCAGTTGACTTAAATTGAAAGAGGTATTTTAGAAGTGGTTTTTTGTTTGTTTGTTTGTTTTGGTGGGGGGCACTCAGATTTATCAGTAAAACTCTGCTTTCTGATTCTTCTTTTAGGAAGCAAATGGTGCTCGTTTTCAAATGAAAATGTGTTTTCTTCCTACCATGTGCCTTTCCCAAGAAGATACTATCGGCAGTTTTATCATTTTATTGTCCATAATGCAAGAAAGATGAGATAGTAATGGGAATTATCAGACTTCATTACTTTATTATTAGACTTCATTACATAAACTGGAGAAGGAAATGGCACCCCACTCCAGTGTTCTTGCCTGGAGAATCCCAAGGACAGGGGAGCCTGGTGGGCTGCTGTCTATGGGGTCGCACAGGGTCAGACACGACTGAAGCGACTTGGCAACAGCAGCAGCATTACATAAACATACCTTTCACTCAGGAATACTATCTGGTGGGTTATAGGAAACGGTTCAACTTTGAGAGCACATGCAAAATTTAAAATCATACAAGTGTACATACAGATACTAGTGTATCTGAAGTAAGGCCTTTTTGATCAGAGCAGTGTCTTTGTCTCAAGTTTCTAGTCTTCCTTTATAGCCAACCAGAAGCATCTGGTCCTCTCTTGAAGACAGTGCCATGGTATAATATAACTTTCTGCATACATAATTTCCTCCTAAACTGGTTAATAAATGTCTCAAGGATCTTATAAAATATATACACAAGTGTCTGTTATCTGGATTGTTTTTACTTTTTGTTGTTGTGTTGTTTTAGTTATTTTTATTGTATTTTCATTCCCACCCCACACCTACCCCTCAATTTCTGAGATAATATGTGTAATAATTTTTGTAGATCACATTCATTGCCACTGATCCCGGTATTTCAGCTAACTTCCATCTTTCTGATTGATCTGTAAACCCTGAAGTATTATATGCTAAAGATGTTGAAATAGAAGGGATTTTGAGCCAATCTTCAATGGACTTTCCTAGAAATGAGAGCATCTTCAGAGTTAGCACTGCGTGTTAGAGCAGATCTTGTTGTATTCAGCCCTGAGGAAGCTGCTATTATTTCCAGTAGGTTAAGCATACTCAGAATTGCCAGAAAGTGTAGGCTAGTGAAAAAAGGTGTAGGTTCTGTTACAGCCCAGGGTTTTGTGGAGAAAATTACTTAACATCTCTGGGCTTCAGAGGATAATAATACCTTCCTCTTAGAGTTGTTGAGAAGATTACATTAAATGAGGTGCTGTTTTTTAAAGTACCTGGTGTTTAGTAAAATGAGATGCTTTGCAAATGAGGGCCTCCTTCATTTCATTTCCTTCAAAACACCAGGATATAAATTCTTCAGGCAGCAGAGACCATATGAGTTTTCCTCCTCATGTTCCCAGTGGCAGCATGCAATAGGCACTCAATGGAGTACGTGAACTTGGCTACTAATTTTCTCACACTGTCCAGCCCTCTCCGCAAAGAATCTGCTCTTGGAAGGCTTCCTCCGATAGGCCACTACCTCAGCTAGCTGGTCTGCCGGAAGAGGGGTTTTAAGTTTTCTACGATTGCGTGCCGAATGCTGCCAGGAAAAGGATTTGAGGAAAAGGGAGGTAAAATAGGGAAGCAAG